ACAGTTTTTACTATAGGTAACTATGCCAAAGGTCATGTTCCAAATAAGGTCAGGCATCTGTGCTTGGTGGCACTTTCCAGGTAAGTCAGGAAGAGAGCAGGAGTCCCCCTGCTGAGAAGGGGAGTCCTTCCATATAGCGCCGAGCCCCTTAGAGCTATCTGGACATGGAGGACTACAATTCTAGCAACAGGGTTTCCCAACAGAGTTACAGACAGTTGTTAGCTCCCATGTGGGTGCTGGGATTCGAATCTGGGTCTTCTGCAAGAACAGCCAGTGTTCTTAACTGCTGAGCCATCTCTCCAGCCCCACCAGCCCCTAATTTTTAAAATTCGACAGAACCTTGGGTTGGGGGTTCTATGCAAGTTAAATGGAGTTGACAACAGCAGTACCTAGTCCACAGGAAGTGGGCACATGACATCCTTGTGGGCTCACATGCGACACCGTAAGTGGAACACTTGGCACCTTGATGGGCTTGTAGTTGAGTGAGTCCCTCATTTATCAGCTTTCCAGTGCATACCCATCAGCTATGCTTATAAAAGGGGGAGAAAATTATAGCATGCCAAAATGACAAATTTTGCTGCAATAGATTTTTTTTTTTCTTTTTGTTCTGTTTTGTTTTGGTGCTGGGGATTGAACCTGGGGCCTTGTCCAGGTTGAATTATACCCTTAGCCCTTTTTAAAAAAAGATTTATTTAGCCAGGCATGGCAACACACATCTTTAATCCCATTACTCAGAAAGCAGAGGCAGGTGGAGCTCTGTGAGATCAAGACCAGCTGGTCAACAAAACAAATTCCAGGCCAGGCGTGGCTAGAGGGAGACTCTGTCTCAAAAAACAGAAAACAAACAAAATATTTATTTTTAATTACTTGCCTCTGTGAGCCAGGAGGGAGAGGTATCAGAGTCCCTAGAGCAGGAATGATAGGCAGTTGTGAGCTATCCTACAGGGCTGCTAGGAACCAGCCTTGGGTCCTCTGCAAGAACAGTATGCATTCTAACCACTGAGCCATCTTCGTCAGTCTCCCCCACTCCTCCAAGCCCTGTTTTCCACTTTTTTAAATTAAAAAAAATTGTTTTTATGTGTATGAGTGTATTGCATGCATGTATGTGAGTGCACCAGTGTCATGCAATGCCATGGAGGTCAGAAGAGGGCTTCAGATTCCCCTGAAACTGGAGTTAAGGACAGTTCATAGCCGCCATGTGGGTGCTGGGAATTGAACCCGGGTCCTCTGCAAGAGCAGTCAGTGCTCTTAACCACTGAACCATCTCTCCAGCCCTGTTTTTCACTTTCTATTTTGAGATAGAGTCTTGCTAAGTTGCCAGACTCATCTTCAACTCTTTCTATGGCCCAGGCAGGCCTTGAACTTGTGCTCCTTCTGCCTCAACCTCCCCAGGAAGCTGTGATTATGGGTGTACACCACCAGGTCCAGCTTCTCTAGGTACACTTTGCTGTTATTGGTTGTTTTATGAGAAAGGGTCTAGGTAGCCCAGGCTGGCCTTGAACACTGGGATAAACAGACCCAGCTTAAGTCTTAATAATCAGTGACAACAGCTATGTCAAGATAAACCTACTGAATGGAGTTGGAGTCAGGAAAAAGATGTTACCTCCTTTAGGCTTCAGTGTCTGATGGATCTTGTTTGAATCCACGCCCCACCTGTCTTCCCCTTTTCCATTGTGGCACTGCTGTGAAATGGGGACAGTGGGGCCCACAGGTAATAGTACTGCTGTAAGGAGCGGCTCACTCTAGCCGAGGAGTGCCCAGCAAATTCTGGCTGTGTGACCCTGAGAAAATTAACCCCTGCAAGCCATTGTCTCATTTGTAAGAGGGGTTAATGTGACCTTTTCAGAGCCTTTAAAAAAAAAAATAGAGCTCTTTCTCTTCTGGTCCCAGATTTCTGGAGCTCCAGGTTCCTGTCAAGATGTCAGACGAGGCCCAGCCTGAGGAGCCTCTGCCCTGATCTGTCTTTCCTGCAGGTGCAAACATGGCCAAGTCCAAGGGCCATACCACATACAACCAGTCTTGAAAATGGCACAGAAATGGCATCAAGAAACCACAGTCACAGACACATATCTTTTAAGGGGGTGGACCCCAGGTTCCTGAGAATATGTGTTTTGCCAAAAAGCACAACAGACGAAGTGCCTGAAGATGCAGGCCAACAATTCAAAGGCCGTGAGCCCACGGCTGTCAAGGCCCTCCTGAAGCCCAAGGAGGTTAAGTCCAAGATACCAAAGGGTCCCAACAGCAAGCTCTGCAGACTTGTTTCATTGCCCACTCCAAGCTTGGGAAGCAGATTCATGGCTACATGGCCAAGGGCTGTAAGGCTCTGTCAACCAAAGGCCAAGGCCAGGGCTGTAGCTCCAGCTAAGACCCAGGCTCCAACTCCAGCTCAGGCTTCCAAAGGTATCCAGGCCCCTGCGAAGGCCCAGTTAACAAAGGTCTGTCTGACAATGTGAAGAACAATGGACGATGTGGCCTCCCTCCCCACTGTTTGCAGAGGGCTAGTGTCTTGAGGGCAAGGTCTGTTTTTGTTTTTGTTGTTATTTTTGTCTCTTTGGGACAGGGTGTCCCTGTAGCCCCAGCTGGCCTGGAACTCACCATGTAGACCAGGCTGGCCTTGAACTCAGAGAGATCCATCTGTCTCTGCCTAAGGAGTGCTGGGATTAAAGACATGTGCCACCATGCCCAGCAAAATCTGTGCTTTTGTTTTGTTTTGTTTTGTTTGTTTTTAAATTGAGCCAACTGGGGGGAAAATTGAGACAAATTCTGAGAAATGAGAAAATGTGGTCTCCTTCCCATTTCAACTCAGGGTTACTGACCCAGGCCCATGGATTGGGGAGAGCCTGAGCTTAGCTGGGGACCCAACACAGCCTTCAGGTCAGTGGGTCAGACCATAACCTGGGCCAGAAGACCTGAGGACAGAGCACACTGCTTGAACCTGTGGGGTGGAAGTGTGAGGGAACAAGTGTGAGGTTTAAAGAGTTGTGGTGATGCCTGCAAAATCAGGAGCACCCCAGCCATGCAAACAGCCCTGGGACAGGAGCGGAGCTGAGCATGCAGCCAAGGCCACCTACCTACATGGCCTCCTAAGGAACCCCACGTGTTCTACAAGCCCAGACTTACATTTTTTCCAAATTTGAGAACTATTTTCTCAGCATTGATGTGGTCCAGAAAGTTAAGATGGTGCTTTCGTCTTCGATAATCCTCTTCTGTAAACGGAATGTCAGTATCATCCTATGGGAGACACAAGGCACAGACCTAGTGCATTAGAGCTACAAGAGGCTGCTCAAAGAACAGCTCCTTTCAGCTCAACAGAAGCTTAACACCACCACTGATCGGCAGGATAACAGGGTTCACAAGAAGGAAATTTATATTCCCAAAAGCTACTAGTGGGGACCTTCAACAGCTCCCAGAAAAGGAAGTGATAAATGTTTGTGGTGATGAAAATGCCAAGGATCCTGATCTGGTCACCACCGCTGCCAAATCTATTGAAATGTACTGCACAAATACATGCAACTAGGCATCAACTGAAACTAAAAATATCATTTGAAAAGCAAAAACACTCACTGTCTCGAGGCTGGTGAGACCTGGCTGCAGGGCCTTCTTCACCAGCTGTGGAGTGTTTTGTCGGGGAAGGGCAGGCCTCCCTTGCATCAGCAGGTCTGGGTTGGATGTGCTTTGGGCCTTCCAGGAAGTTCACTTTGAACTTCAGTGAAACTCCAAACAATGAAAACAGGACCTGGAAGAGTCTCCGGGTGGTGACATCGCAGTCTATTGTAGACTCTTCAGTTGTAAGAATGACCTAGCACTCGTCTGCATTACCCACAGCCCATCTTTCCATCAGTCACAGAAACATATTGAATAGCACAAAGGCTGCCACGGTAGACTGAAGATCTTGATACTAACAGAAAGGAGGCTTTTTATTTACTGTTGACAGGGTTACAAGAAGCCCAGGCTGGCCTTGAACTTGATATGAACCCACACAGATAACTTGGAACTTTTGAACCTCCTGCCTCCACCTTCTCAGGGCCACCACATCCAGCTTATACTAACAAAACGTAAAATGACGTAAAAAGCCCTAAGCTTTTTATTTCTATGATTACAGTAAGCAAAGCTCATGAAACTTCTACACTGTGGTTGAAATGAGGAAGAGGTCTACTTCAAAACAAGCACCTGAGATTATTGCCAGAAGAAGAGGTATATGGAAAAGTCAGTGGGGTATGAATCTATCTGGAGATTGACGAAATCCAGGAACTTAAACATAGTGTTTCTTACATCTTTTTCTTTTTTTTTTTTTTTGGTTTTTTTATTTTGAGATAGGGTATCACCAAGTACCCCATCATCAAGGCTGGCCTGAAAATCACTGAGGTCCACCTGCCTCTATCTTCTGAGTGCTAGGACTGAACTCAGGTCCTCTGTAAGAGCAGTAAGTGCTCTTAACCACTGAGCTATCTCTCTAGCCCCATGTTTGTTTGTTTAAATTATTATTATTGCCATGTCTTTAATCCCAGCACTCTGAGAGACCCTGTCTCAAAAAGACAAAAAAAAAGCCATAAATTATTATTATTATTCTCCCTATAGCCCCAGCTGGCCCTGGGACTTACTATATAGACCAGGCTGCCTTATATCCCACAGAGATCTACCTGCCTCTGCCTCCCAAGAGCTGGGGTTAAAAGTGGCCAGCTTATTTTTTTATTTTTGTTTTTTTCATACTGTTCCTCCTCCCCACTCAACCACATATTAATAAAAACATTCTGGGGCCAAGGGCTAAAGCTCAGTGGTACAATGCTTACCTCAGTCCCTGGCACCACAAAAACAAACAAAACAAAACAAAAATTTCATGTACAAGTTTCCAATTCAATCTTTAAAAACCATACACATCGAAGAAGTTCGATTGATCCTGGGAGAAAATGATAGAATGTGTGAAGAGCCATGAGCCTAATTAGGAAAGCGACATAACCATTGTTAAGGTTCAGACAGCCCCGCCCCCTCACCAACAGGGCCTCACAAGCCCCCTGAGAAAAGGGAACCAAGTTGATAAGCACCCTGGTTTTTGAAGTGAAGCAGATTTTTCTCCACTGTTTGGCCAACACAGCAGGCTTCCCCTTTGATCTCTAAAGAGGGAAGGTTTTAACAGTCCAGCTCTCCTGCTCCCCCCCTCAACCTAACTTTTTAAAAAAATATATCTTCCCGCCTTCTGCACCCCTCAAAGCCTCCCCCTTTAAAAGACCCCAGCTCACGACCCAGGCAGACATTTTCCCTGCCCGGAAGGGAATCTGTGCCATGTGTTCCTGTGCTAATAAACCATTCTGATGGAGTTTTATCTGTGTCCTGGTGCTTTCTCCTGAAGAACTGGATTTATCCATGGCCTACTTTACCTAGTGGATGGTGCCAAAACCCGGTTCTTACTTCAAGGGATCCGCCTGGGCTTCTCCAATGCCAGTAACTTGGCTTTCACGTACATCCCACCCTTTTCTCTCTCTCCTCCTCTCCCCAGCCCTCTGCTTTGCTTTCCCCTCTTTCTGGCTGGGGAACACTCTGCCTTGCCTATGTCTTCTTTTGATTTCCTTTCCCATTGATTTCTGTAACTCCCAGACAGCACTGGTCTCTGGGATGGAGCTGCTTCATCCCTGCGCTACCTCGGTCCCCCCACCGTCCTCCTCCACCGCCTTTCTTCCTCACTTTACTCGGGTTGATTTCTAATACCCTTCAATTCATTTAGGTCTCTTCTCCTTTGCTTCCATCCTTTACTCTAGGCTTTCCTCTTTCCTCTAACTACTTATGGATTCCCTGCACATGCAAATGCTCTGGATCCTTCTCTCTCTCCCCCTCCCATACTAAGCTTTCTGCTCCCTGCCATGTGCCTGCCAGCCTGGCATGTGTCTGACCTCCCATGCAGGCTCTAAACCTGCATGACCCCAAGGCTTTTTTTTGCCTTCCGTCTGTTCACCCCCTCCAGGCAGGTGCTAAGATTGCCAGCTTGTCTGCCCTGGGGATTTTTTTCTTTAACATTCTAATAAAATGATAAAAGTTTCCAGCTGGGCCCATTCTTAAATTCTCTTATAAATATGGCTAAGAACCCTTTAGGGGACCCTTTCTTCCCATTTTGACCCAACTAGCCTAAACCGGCTGGGCAACTTTGCTGTAGCAGTTAAAGAATTTCAGGTGGCTTGCCCTAAGGACAAATGGAAAATGGTTTAAAAGCCTTTTTTTCTCCTAAACTTTTTCTCAGGCAAAGGGCTCGATATTTTGATCTTAGGCCCTCTTGGGCACCAAGAAACTGGTGCTCAGGTGCCTACTTTTCTAACTAGGCCTAACCATTTTAAATTTCACTATACATAAAAAGTCACAGGCACTGCTCAGGCAAGTCATATGTTTTCAAACCAACAATGCACTGATTTATATGCCCTGTTCCTTCTGCTGCCCTCATGAATTTCCTTTGCAGCATAGCTTGTATCTAGAAATTAAGAGATG